ACCATGACAGCATCTGAAATTGGATGACTTCAATGATTTTGTTTCACTTAAAGTTATTGACATCAGTTTCTGTGGTTTTCAGGATATAACAATCCATGCAAAGAATGTTGTATATTGATTTCTGTGGACCAAAAAAGCATTATCTTTTTTTTTTTAATGAAGTGTGTTTAGCATATTTCCTTCCAAGTTTTTTTAACATCAAAAAACATATCTGCTGCCAACATTTTTCAAAAGCAAGTCTCCAGGAATATCTAGCTTCCCTTTTTTGTGAATAATACATATAGCCACCTTCTGTAAAAAAAAAAATCTAAAGGGCATTCAATCTCATATCTTCATACATCCCTGGATAGGTGCTGTGTTACATTTCCAAAACATAGGAAAACTTGCAGTTTATCTGTGAAAGAAAGAATATAATTGTTATAAGGATAACATTCAAGGGAAGGAACCTTTTTCATGCCCCTTTAAGCACACAAAAAGATCAATCAAAAATACTCCTTCAGTTGCTTGGAGAAGTGTTTAATGTGGCAAAAAACTTTAAGGTAAGTCACAACAGCCTGTGTTAAAATGTGCCCATAAACACTGTGAATGATTATGAATAATTTTCTTCAAAGAACAAAAAAGAGTATTATCATTCTTTTGATGGAGATGAAAGACTCAGCATTATTTCCTTGGATAAAAGTTATCACTAATTATATTTTCTCTCCTTTTCTTTTATTGTTTAGATATGTGATAAAGAATGGCACTACTATGTCGTCAACATTGAGTTTCCACTCGTTACCTTGTATATGGATGGCACAACATATGAACCTTACCTTGTAACTAATGACTGGCCGATTCATCCATCACATATAGCAATGCAACTAACCGTTGGTGCTTGTTGGCAAGGTAATAACACATATTGTAATATGTAAATTGAAATATGTGGACTTCTACTGTATGTTAAAAGCTCAATGATACCATAGTAATAGTCTTTTATATAATGTTAGTGAATTATTTTTCATTATAATGATTCAGAGTAAAGTTTCTATGTCCCCATAACAGCGAAAATCTCACACTGGGGGGGGGGGTAGTTAGAGATCTATAGACAGGACAAAACAGAATTGTAAAGTACTTAATGAGTCTCAGATTGGAAGACCTGGGAATTAGTCACTTTTTGTTTCCTGACAACAAGGGCAGATGGCCATGTATTATATTAAGCCAGTTATCCTTTGCTCTTGGATGACACTAAAGCAGCTGGCCTGAACAGGGTACCACAGACAGATTCAGGCCTCAGTTCTGATGATTCCTCAGTCTGTCAGGTGACCCAGAGGACCAGTGAAGTGGCATCTTTTAGTATAAACTGTTTAGTATTAATAGCTTGTCATTTTTTGAGAACCAATCTAAGATGACTTATCTTTTGCCCATCTTTCTGCTAGCTGCCCTCTCTTCCATCTAGATTTGTCCTTCATCTTCAAGAAACTTCCCAGACTTTGACCTATTGCTAGGGTTGCCAAACCCCCCAGTTTGCCAGGGGTCCCCCATTTTGGGGGGGTTCTACCCACCGCCGGCCAGATGGCCAGCGGGGGAAGCCCCACCCCCAACACCCACAGCCACCCTTCTCTCTCCCCCTAAGTGTGTGGAACCCGTGTTTCCTCCCAAGCCCAATCTCCGCAAGCTTGCAGGGAAATGCCACCTTCCAGCTCTCAAAAGAGAAACACCGGCTCCTTCAAGTGCAGGGAACTGCCGTTTCTGGAAATCCTCCCAGCTCTTAAAAGGGAAACGCGGCTGATCGTAAAGGGGAAACGCCAGCTCCTGCAACCAAAAGGGAAATGCCAAGTGCAGGGAACTGCTGTTTCTGGAAATCCTGCGCACAGGCGGGGGGGGGGGGGGGGGGTGGGCCCCCACACGTGACATCATCACGTCGGGGATGCCCCACCCCCTCCAGGAATGCCCCCAAAGTCCCCCGCTGGGGGTGGAAGGTGGACTTGGCAACCCTACCTATTGCCTGCCTTCATGGATTATGCTTTGATTGTATATTTTGCTATCACCACTTGAAACTTTTGGGTTGGATTCTGCAAACTGCCAGTACAAGAGTTTGCAGAGGCAGATCTTCCCTTTGTTCAGTGATTACGCATTTCAGCTTCTGCTTTTCTAACCTTTTCCCACAAAGCAGACTTTTAAAAGACATTTTTTTAAAAATTGTATTCCACATGCATGTGATTCAAAGGGAATTCTTCCTGAAATGAAAGTCCAGTGAAGTCAGCAGGTCTGTTTGTAGAAAGTATGCCAAAAGAATTCAGTTGAAACAGTATGTTAAATTAGATGTTAAGTTCTTGCATCCCAAAGCTGGAGTACTGGCCTCAAGGCTACACGCCAACATTTTACAGCACATTAATCAGGGATCTCTACAGAACAGAAGTGGACCCACCCCCCTTTCTTAGTTCCTTGTCGTAGCAATGTCCAAATTCAGAGCTTAATCCCATGTTTTAAAAATAGGTCAGCTGTTCATCCCGTTCATCCTTTACTCATTCTAACTAAGCCCCCTGTTCAATCATTTATGGGTTGTTCTTTTCTCAGATTAACCCATTGTTGTCAGAATCAGAGATGCCATACAGATAGATTGATACATGTTCACATTCAGCTGAAGCAATTTGGTACTAACTTGTTGATAATCATCACTAAAATCTATTAATGCATGCCAAAATGTAACCTTAATAAATTTAACAATAGGAGGAAATACAGGAGTGAATTAATTACACTGGACACTGTGAAAATCAGTAACAAAATTCTTAATATATTACTATTGACTTGAGAGAAACATCACTTTTAGTGATAATATTTGATCTGTTGGATAATACAAGATCTGTTTCTTGATTGGAAATCCAGAACCATTTTGATATTGATAGGCTTCTGAATGTGTCACAGATTATAGGAGAAGCAGACACTCTTGTTTGCTACAAGAGATTGCTAAAATCTGAAATAAAGCCAGTTGTGACAACACAAGCTTCAGTATGATTCTTCCAAACTAAGCCTGCTGGCTTCAGTGGGACTTAATCCCCGGTAAGTGTACATAAAATTGCAATCTAGGTCTGTTCACCAGTCTCTTGCAAGATTATTTCATGAGACTGAGATTTTCAAATAACAAAACTTTACCACTCCAAGTCAAGACCATGGGGATCTTCACTCTGCAACAGGAAAGCTGTTGCAGGGAACATGAACACATAATCACCGTTACCAAACTTATTTTTAGATCATAGTGTCATCTGTGTATACTTGCAGTGAACAAACATCAATCTTTCCCATGTAGTACTTGAACTTGAAATCCCTTACTTGCAATGTGTTGATGAGAGAAACTTTTACAGTAGTAAGGTACAGTGATGCTGACCATTATCAAAACACTGTAGAAAATAAGCATGATTAATCTCTTATTTATGAGAAAGAAGCCTCATTAATGAATACAGTACCAGTCAGAGAACAGTATGAGACAGAAAGAATATAACCTCCCAAAAACTCTTATAGCAGATCGTTTGGGGGGGGGGGGGTTCAGATAGCAATAAGCTGATAGCATTGTCAAAAGCAGATTTGATTTTTCTTTTAATGTTTACATATCTTTTTTTATTTCCAGGTAAGACAATCAAATGAAGTTTAACTATGGCACCCTTTAATAATAGCCTTTTTGGTTTCTAAGTTCCCTCTGTGATATTATAGTTACAAACAATCATTTATGGCCAGAACGGTCACAAAACTAAGCAAGTGAAGCAACTTGGTAATCCATTGAACCCTTTTCTGTAGACTTCACCAAAGTATCTTTGAAAAGATAACGTCTCCATTTCATAGTTTTTCCCACAGGAAGCAATCTTTTTTATACATATAACTCTTTACCCCCTGTCACCATAGCAGTGACACAAGTTAATTACTGTCAAAAGGTTACACTTCAATTTACCATAGCTGAAAAGTCATTACTTCCAATACAGCAAAGCCATTCTGATATCTTAGGGTATGTGGTGAAGGATGAAGTAATTAACTTGTGTCAGTTCCGCAATGCATTCAGAAGTGAATAGTTCTTTCAGGGAATGCATTGTTAACAAATTAAGCCCTATGATATAAATAATATGTTGTGGGTTTTGTCTTGTTTCCCTCCTCATTTCAATCTCTACACTCAAACCTAAAACCATTGCTACTTATAGTCACACACTGTCTTTACTTTTTCTGAAGAAACAGAAATTCTGAATCTTGCAGTAATATTCAACAGAGAGATTAGCCATGTTGACCCTACCAATCTAATTCTTCGATGTATGTGGTTACTTATAAGGAGTTTTAACTAGCTCCATAGTAGCTCTCTGTTCTCCTTTAAATTCCCTTACGATCATTTTATAGAATACAGTTTTACTGAATATGTATATGAGAGACGTCATGATAAAATTGTAAACAGTAAAATGCATACACATCTTTTTTCCCCTCACGAAAAATATATATTCTGACTCCCCACAATGTAATTTTTTCCCCTTTGGACTTTAGTCATGGCAGTTTTGGTAGGTAATATCATTTACTCAATATATATCTATTAAAATCATAACATGTGAAGCATCATGAGGGTGTGCTAGCCCCTGTGCTCATTCAGTAATACAAGAGACTTTGGGTGTTCTGTGAGGAGTCCAGCCTTGACATGGCAAGTCAGATTAATCATCTAACTAGCTAGAGTTCTATTCCCAACAGAGGCCAGCACCAAGCCTTTAGAAACCAACTCCTGTTTAAAGTTGTATTTGTGTGTCCTGTACTTCTTGTACTTATATACTCTGCTTATTTTGCTGGAGTTATTCTATTGTGTAGATTGTACCAAAAGTTCCAGTACATATTTCATATATTTTCTGTATTATTTTATATAGAATAGCAGAGATCAAATTTGAAGATATGCAGGTCATGTAAGATGAGTATTTTGTGTAAGATGAAAGAAGGTTTTAAATAAATTCCTGCATATACTAATATCAACTTGCCATTTGTATTTAGCTCCTCTTTGCTAGGGTTTGTGTGCCAGATCTGAATTCTACTCAGAGTTTAGATTATTATTTGATTTGTAAAAGGTACTCTTGTAATCTTCTGATCTTTAAAATAAAATATGTTAACACTGTATTCAAATGAAGGTTAATCTGCCCATGAGATGAACCCCAAAAGTCTTTGAGCTTGCATGCTCTTTCCCCTCCCTCCTACCTCAAACATGGCATGAAAATCGATGCCTTCCTGGTTTGGCACATATTGAAGTTTATAAATGATATCCAGACTATAGATATAAGTTTCCCTGGAGAAAATGGTAGCTTCAGAGGGCGAACTCTATGGTGTCACATCCCAGCTGAGCTCCCTCCCCTTCCCAAACTCCAAATCTTCATGAATTTCCCAGCTTAGGCAGCTCTCATGACAAGCTAGGGATCCCAAGTCCCCCCGGGGGGGGGCGGGTCCCCGCCCCAGAGGCCCGTTCCTTGTCGCCCCCAGATCGGGCCCCGGGGGGAACTCCACCCCGATGTGCGTGTCACCCGGAAGTGATGCGGGCACGCTGGGCACGCGTGTATGGCCGTGGCCCCGCCCCCAGCGTGCCTGGCGTCCTCCCGTTACTTCTGGGTGACGTGTGTGTGGCGTGCACGTGCTTTGCACATGCACGCTCATACAAGACACCAGTGAGGAGCCCCCCGCTCCCGGCGAAGATAGACTTGGCAACCCTATGACAAGCTACAGCAGTTAGGGGGAGGGTGGGATGATCCCATCCCTGAGTGCCACTGCACCTGCAAAATTTAGGATACAAGCCTTGGTTTGAAAGCAGAAGAACAAATTAGTTCACTATTTTCAGCTGATCTGGACATTGCAACAAACTCCAGTTTGCTCCAAACGAGGAAGGAAGGGGAAGAGAACACATT